GTGTTTTTCAAGTTAAATTATATATTAGAAGTACAATTATAATTAATATTAAAATTATTGAAATATTTTTTATAAAAACCCTCTTTATATTTATTCATTAATGGTATTTTAATAATTTTAATGTTATTTTTACATTACATGACTAACAAATTAACAATACATGAAACTCAAGTTACAAAAGTTAACCTTAGCTAAAAAAAAAAAAAAAAAAGAAAAGAAAAAAACGAAAACTGAAAATGGTAATTGTCACTAGGTTGTGATGACTTGCCATTTTGTAATACTAATTAATTAGGCCAATTTTAACGTAAATTTAATAGATATTATAAATTATGTACCATCAAATATCACCTATCAACAAGGTAAAAACCCTTCTTAAGTTGCTAAATTTATCCTAAAATAACATTTAAACCTTCAAACTAAAAACAAAACAGCCTTTCTCACAAATGAGCCAAATGGTATTTCATGTTTAATATCACATTGAAAGCATGAAAACCCATGAATGAAAAGAGTTTATTTGCATCATTAGTGAAGTTGAAGGATTTATCTACTTCATTTTTAGTTTGGGGGCTTAAATGATATTTTGAGGCAAGTTTGAGAGTTTAAAAAGAGTTTTTACCTATTAACAATTAAATCTACTTTAACAATTAAACCAAACACTGCCTAACAAGCACCGTTGCAAGGAGTGAGAGCCTTGTCACAAATTAATTTATTCAGTTTAAAGATAACTATGAGATCTTATCTCTTCCACCTAACTTTACAATATAAGAAAGAAAAATGAAAATTATGCACCTAACATTCCATGGCCCTAGGACTAGGATGTCCTTAGCTTTTATGTTCCTACAGTCCTACTTTTCCCACAGTCCTACTTTTTTGGATAATGGAGGCCTTTCACATCGTAAAGTTTGTAAGCATTTTAACGCGTTTACTAATTAGTAATTACAAACGGGTGTGAAAATTAAGCATATTATTATTTTGAAACGAAAAGTTGAAAGGGAGAAGTATATTATTTAATTTTAATCTCTGATGGAGTACTAGTATATTAAAAACTAATTTGAATAATAATTTTTTCTTGAAGACCAAAAAAATAATTTTTTATGAAAAAATTAATTTTTTTATTAGAAGAGAAAAGAGAGATTTGAATAATAGTGTGAATAACGAGATTACGAGGGTAATTAATAATTAGTATAAATTTCTGTTTTGGGGTATTTAGATGATAATTATAAGATATATAAAGGTAAGGATATATATATATATGTAAACAACTTTTTTATATAATATATATACATATATATTTCAATGTGATTAAACATTATCTTTTTATTGAAAAAAAAAAAAAAAAAGACATTATCTCTTTACATCCAATTATTTTGCGGTTCTACGCGGCAGCACGTTTTTACAAATATATTGTATACAATGGATACATATGATGCAGACGTCTAACTGCCAGCTAATTAACCCTCAATTTTTGTTGCCTCAAGCTTTAGGGTTTGGGTGAGGCGAAGGTCAGGGTTTCGAGTTCTGCCACCGCCGTGAACTCCACCAACCTGCGACCTAATGATCGCGCGCCTCAAATGAGGGGTGGAACGTTCACTTTTCTAAAAAAATTCAAGTTACTAACAAACTAACTCTACTAACTTCCTAACCATCTACCTGGTCAAAAAAAAAAAAAAAAAACCCTCAATTTTTGTCTATATATTAATAGACCTCTCGTGGGCTTCAACATATTTTCCCATATCAACCTATATTAACCTACCCACCAGCTAAGCACAATCTTGCGTCAAAGAAGGCATGGCTGACAGGGGACACCATCCACCCGGTGATCATGGACATCATGGAGGGCATCATGGCCCTGGTGGAGGAGGCCCAGGGCATCAAGGTCCTGGTGGAGGAGGCCCAGGGCATCAAGGTCCTGGTGGAGGAGGCCCAGGGCATCAAGGTCCTGGTGGCCCAGGGCATCAAGGTCCTGGTGGAGGCCACGGCGGACACCATGGGGGTGGACCTGACCACGGACATGGTCCAGGAGGCGGAGGCCCTGGCGGTGGTCATGGTCATGGTGGTGATCATGGTCATGGAGGCGGAGGCCCTGGCGGTCATGGTCATGGAGGCGATCATGGTCATGGTGGCGGCCATGGCGGACCTGGCGGACATGGTCACGGTGGACGCTGTTAAACAGTCTCCACCAACATATCCCTATCATCGCCTTTGGAAAACACTACCATATCTAGTATTTATTTACAGGAAGTATGGCAGTGTTTTAGTACTACTATTTGCCTAAGTGTGGTTATCATGTAATGTAATTAAAGTCGACCTTCTGGATTTAGCTTGAGTGTTTTATTATATGATCGAGAAGTTGCGTTGTCTGAATGTTAGTTTGGCAAAAAATAAAAGGCGGTGGCTGAAAATTTGGTCTTTACAGATGGGCTTGCAGTCATTTGAAAGTTGGGTAGAAATGGGTTATTATTAGGTTAAAATATCAATTTCGTCCCTGAACTTTTAGATTTGTACCAAAACGTATCCTTAAACTTCAAAAGTAGTAAAATTGTTCTTAAACTTTAATTTTTAGTACCAAAATAAT